TGGGGAGGGTGGTTATGAAAGAACCAGAAAAGTTTCTAAAATGCAAAGATAGCCAACTCAGCACAAAAGTTAGAATCATACAAGCCATTGTATTCCCTATTACCATGTATGGATGTGAGAACTGGACAGTTAAGAAAAATGATAGGAAGAAAATCGACTCATTTGAGATGTGGTGCTGGAGTGCTGAGGATCCCATGGACAGCCAAAAGGACAAACAAATGGGTCTTAGAGCAGATTAAGCTGGAAACCTCCCTGGAAGCCACAATGACCAAACTGAGACAGCCGTATTTCAGAAACATCATGAGAAGAGAGGACTCTTTGGAAAAAACAATAATGCTGGGGAAGGTGAAGGGGAGTAGGAAGAGAGGAAGGCCACACATCAGATGGATGGACTCTATTAAGGAGATCATGGGTATGAGTTTGCAGGAATTAAGCAGAGCAGTGGAGGACAGAGGGTCTTGGAGATGTCTCATCCATAGGGTTGCCATGAGTCGAGAGTGACTCGAGGGCAGTTAACAACAACAAATAGGTTGTATAATTGACTTTTAATTTTTTACTCATTAGGGTGTGTTTTCTGGCTGTACTTTAAAAAAAAACTAGGCTGTAAGCCTTCTTGGGTTCTATTTTGAGAGGAAGGCAGGACATAAAAAAAAAATCAATATATAATTTTGACACTTTAAATTTAAATTCTGTCCTAAACATTTAAGAGCCAGCATGATGTAACCATTTTGTCCATTGAACTATGACACTGGAGAGAAGGATTCGAGTCTCCGCTCAGCCATTGAAACCCACTGGATAACCTTGGGCATGTGAAACTCAGTCTCAGCAGAAAGGCAAACTCCCTCTGAAAAAATCTTGCTAAGAAAAGCCTGTTATAGGTTTGCCTTAGGGTCCCCATAAGTCTGAAACTACTTGAAGGCATGCAGCAACAAATTTAAATCTATGGTGGTGGTGATCTGCTTATTTTAACTGATGTTTTCTTCTTTCCCTCCTCCTAATCACCACCTACATCATCATCATGATACTATAATTATGATTATTATAATCATCATGATATAATAAAGAATAATGATGAGTAGTGTAGTGGTTTGAGTGTTGAATTAAGACTCTGGAGACCAGGGTTCAATTCCCAGCTTGGCTCTGAAACTTGCTGGGTGACCTTGGGCAAGACACATGCTTCAGCCTCAAGGGAAGGCAATGGCAAACCTTCTTTGAACAAATCTTGCCAAGAAAACCCCATGATAGGTTTGCCTTAGGGTTGCCATAAGTCGCACACAAAAAAACACACAGAACAGCCATTGCCAAAGCAAAACAAAGGGTGGAAATAAATTTGCAAATGGAGTTCCATCACTAAGATCTTTCTTCCAACTTGCCACTTGGCTCAGTTCTACTGCTGAGGGATGTCCAGTTTCAAAGCAAAGAGTGGGCTGGTGGGAGTTTCTTTAGATTGCTTGATCTCCATGGTATGCAGAGCTTCAAATAGGGAAAGCATAGACCTTAAGTGACCTTAAACTTTTTAAACGGGGGGCCAGTTCACTGTCCCTCAGACCATTGGAGGGCCGGACATGCGCACTGTGGACCTGGGACAAGTTAGCTGCTAAGTAGGACAGGCAGCGGCGGCAAAAAGCACCTGGTGGGCCGGATAAAGTAGCAAGTAGCCCATGGGCTGTAGTTTGAGGACCCCTGGCATAGACCATACTACACCTTTTCCCTTGTCTTTGAAGTAGTGCAGTCCCATAAGGACTCTATGGCACTCTGTCTAAAGTGTTGATCACTTGCGAGGCATAAGATGCATGCACCAGGTTTCGGGTTTTTGCAGCTTTGGGCACTTATTGTAGCTCATATACGCCTCCTTTTTATGTTGCCTTTCTTTCAGTGGGTTTAAATCATTAAGTGGAATGAAGAACATAATACCTTTAGCAGCAAAGTGGGTTTACTTAGTGATGGTAGAAAAGCAGCTTTCAGGAGAAAACTGCTGGGCTAAGCCTCAAGGTATTTAGTAATTTGCTTCTAGCAAATGAAAGCAAGGGACTTAGGTGATCAAAGTTCGCTCACTAGTTTGTTGGTTTTCTCTCTTTCGTAAGTACCTGCAAGACACAAGAAACAAGGAAGAAATTCAAAGAAAATAACATCATTCTGTTTTGTTTCTCATCATGGTTTGTAGCATGTCTTGGGCTGCACCTACAATTCCAGAATTAATGCAGTTTAACAGCGCTTTAACTACTATGGAGTCCTGGGATTTGCAGTTTGTTGTGGTATCAGGCCTTTCTGACAGAGAAGATGAAATATCTCACAAAACTACACATCCCAGAATTTTATAGCACGGAGCCATGGCATTCCTTTTGCAGTGTAGATGCAGCCTCTGTTTCAAAGTATATGTTATTTTAGAGACCCAGCTGCTGGCTACACCTTTCGGATTTTAGAGTGTAGGGGTCCTAATATGGATGGGGGGTCTTTACCCTTTCTGATCTACTGAGGTCCTATTAGAGATGTAAAATTTTCAGAAATTTTGAAGCCATGGAAAAAAATTGTCCTCTTGGAAAAATTGAAAAAAAAAAGTTACATTAGCATCATTTACAGATTGAAAGGCACTTTACAAAAATAAAATGAATTACTGTGGGCCCCTGGTATCCGCTGGGGTTTGGATCCAGAACTCTCTGTGGATACCAAAATCCATGGATACCTAAGTCCCATTAAATACAATGGCACAGGAAAATGTTGTCCCTTACATAAAATGGGAAAATCAAGGTTTCCTTTTGGGAATTTATATATATTTAAAATATTTTCAACCCGTGGATGCATGAATCCATGGATAACAAATCTGTGGATGAGGAGTGCTGACCGTAGATGCATAATATGTAATCCAATTATATAAGCTCATTTGGCATAAAATTATCATGTTTTTTTTATTTTAAAGGCTAATTTATTTAGACAATAGTTGCAAATTAAATCCCCCCTTTAAAATGTTTATTGTTTGTTCAAATTGAATTGCAAGGCTGGCCCCTCCCTGCTTTCCTTTTGCTGACAAAGATATTTTTATGCAACATTAATATATAATCATTGTCGGAGAGGTTTTTGTGCAGGGTGTATGGTTTATTTATTTATTTATTTTTGTGTTTTATACAATTTCATGCAGTTTTAGCAAGATGAATTTAATTGGTTTTAAATTTTTATTGGAAAGATTTGAATTATATTATCTGTGAACTTCCTTAGGTTCTTTTCCAGGAGAAAGGCACCATATAAATCAATGAAATACATAAATATAAATACATTTGTTGCTTTATTAGGAGAAAGGAAAAACCCAACAAAAACAGAATAAACCATCAACATTAGTAAAAGAGAGAAAATTATTTTGTCTCCTCTAGTCTTCCATACTGTTAACAGATATAAAGTGTTCATTCCCATGAAAAGAAGTGAGAAAAGGACACTTAAGACCAGGAATTGCAATGAACAGATAGCATACACTGTCTAACATAAATGTCTTCCTGTTATACAGTTTTTAGAAATAATTGCGGGGTAGTAAATAAATGGACATCTTTTTTTAAACATTTTACTCATTATTTTAAAAGAAACATTTTTTGAAGCTGTACCTTCTTTTATTTAGGTTTAAGCCACCTTGGAACCTGTATAAGGAGAAAGGTGAATATTAAATAAATTAAATAAATAAATTTAAAAAAATACAATTCAGTGGGCCCTTGGTATCAACTGCGGTTTGGTTCCAAGAACCCCCCTCCCCCGGATACCAAAATATTCAAGTCACATTCAGTAAAATGGTGCCCCTTATATAAAATGGCAAAAATCAAGGTTTGCTTTTTGGAATTTATATATACTTTTAATATTTTCAAGACGTGGGTGCTTGAATTTGTGGATTAAAAAATCAGTGGATATGGAGGACCAACTGTAATCTATTATTTCAATTTTTCTGGGAGAAAAGGCTTCAGAAAAAAATGGAGGGGGAGGAATGCTGGTACTCCAGCCCCAAGGTTATGAGTTTGAGCCTGATGGGCTCCAAGGTTGACTCAGCCTCCCATCCTTTTGTAGGTTGGTAAAATGAGTACCTAGCTCAGGGGTCAGCAATCTACAGCCCGGGGGCCAGATCTGGCCCCCTGAGGTCTTTGGTCTGGCCCCAGGCCGGTCCTGCCACCGCCGACCCCCGCCGCCACGGCATGTGTCATGGCCGCCATTTTGTTTTCCAAAATGTGGTCGCTACTCATTTGTGCATGCGCAGTACTTGGCGCATGTGCAAATGAGTTGCGGCCATCATTTTGTTTTCCAAAATGGTGGCCGCAACTCGCTTGTGCATGCACAGTACTCGGAGGTACTGCACATGCACGAGCGAGCGTATGCATGCGCAGTACTTCCGGAGTAATGTGCGCGCAGGCAGCGCTATTCCCCCCCCAACCCGCGGAAGACCTGGGAAAGACCTTACTGGCCCCAGGTAAGGAAATGTTGCGGACCCCTGACCTAGCTTGTTGGGGGCAATTGGCTTACACATTATAAACCTTTTAGAAAGTGTTGAGTTCACTATGAAGTGGTAAAGAAATATAAATGCTATCTTGTTGAGAAAAAAAATGAGATACAAGACCACTAGCTAGATCTTTAAGGTGCCATATGTTTTGGCCCTTAGAGTGGGATAGTGGTTTGGCATTAGACTATGTGTGACTCTGGAGACCAGGGTTTGAATCCCTGGTCTGCCATGGACAGGCACTGGATGACCTCAGGCAATCTCACTCTTTCATCTTCATATGCATTGCAAGCTTTTGAAGTTCTACTGCAGGGGTAGGCAACCTTTTTGAGACCTGGGCCGGTCTCCCGTAGCCCAGGTCTCGGCTGGGCTGAGGGGGGAAGGGAATGGCGGCACGTGCGCATGACCTCCGCCGCTGTGCGCGACCTCCCACGCACACTGCGGCCGCTGCCACCGCCGTGCATGTCGCGGCCGCCATTTTGAAAATCAAAATGGCGGCCACAACGCGTTTGCGCATGCGCAGGAGTACTGTGCATGCGCAAACATGATGCGACCACCCATTTTGATTTCCAAAATGGCGGTCATGGTGCACGCGGCCGCACAGCAGCAAAAACGCGGTGCGGCGGCAACCTTCGGCCTGGGCCGGTAAGTCCAGGGACCTGGGCCTTAACCGGCCCCCGGGCTGTAGGTTGCCGGTCCCTGTTCTACTGGCTTCTTTGTGAATGGAGCTTTGAAAGCTTACAACATGTATAAAATGCGTTTTGGTTGGTCCAATAAAGGTATCACTGTTTTGTAGATTTTAGATGATACTGTACTTTGCCATATGGCCAACATGGTTACCCTTGGATATGTTCTCTTGGCTTCAGTGGAAGGCAAAGGCAACACCCCTCTGAACAAATTTGGCCAAGAAAACCCTGTGATAGGTTTGCCTTAGGGACACCGTAAGTCAGAGATGACTTTGAAGACACACAACAGCAACAAAAAATGTTAAAGCATCTTGGAGAAAGCCTGCATAGACATTTGTTGTGTTTAATGCACAACAGCAGCAACCCTGGTGAAGCAAGCTTTGGCAAGCATAGTTATTTGCCCTGTAAACTTTATTGAGTCCTCCATATATTTTATTTATTGACAGAAAAGTGAAGCAGCAGCTAATCTATGCTTTGTGGATTTTTTTAAAAAAATGTTTCATTTAAAAAAGATTATGAAGGATCACTCTTGTCTTGCGCTTTCAGAATTAGCTGATCCTCTGATTAGATTAGGAAGAAGTTATTGTCCTCTAGGTATAGTGCATCTTAAGCCACTGGGCATGTGTCTGTATCCTGTAGCATTCAGAGTCTTCTTTTCCTCTTGAGCCAGCAGAGGATTCTGCAGGGACCAGAGGTAGGTTTTGAAATTTTAATTTTAAACACTAAGGCAGGCTATAATTTCAGGCTTTGGAAGTGATGAGTATGCATGAGGCAGCATAGGCTTTGAAATACAGTATCATGGATATGCTGCTGTTATAAAAATGCTTTTGATCCATCAATCAGCATTACACTATTGCCTTGAACGTAAACATGTGTATTTAGAAAGAAGCCTCATTGAATTCTCTGGGACTTCTCACCACACAATGTACTGTATTTAGCATTGTAGTGTTAGGATAATGGGTGTTATTTATTTATTTTTGCTTTGGAAAA